AAGAAGATCACTCAGCCTTGGCTGAGGAGAATAAATGCCCAAGTTCCTCTCAAAGTCAGCATGACACAGAATACTGAATTCATGGTAGATGCTGCAAAATCATTATTTATGTTTCCTTCTGTTTCAGAAGTGAGAGTTCAGCTGCATGTGGCTTCTGTGGGACTTCCCTAAAAATACCTGTTTTCCAGACCATAAATAAGGACCCTTACTGGTTTTCCCAAGACTTTTTTGGTTCAGAGACATTCAATTAAACTGGGATGGATGAGAAAGGCATTAGCTGAACATCTGCCTGATCTGGCCTTGGGTTTCCAATGTACATTAGAGTCATCCTTAGCTTTCCTTTATCAAGGAAAAATAAATAACATACACTGCAAAGTAGAACCTGTCATCCATATAAGTCAAACTAAGCCTGGATATGAGGAAACATGTGAGGAATACTCTGGACCAGGAGCAGGCAATGCCATAGAGAAAAAAAAAAATAAGAGATTTGGGACTAAACTGAATTAAATATTACAAGTGGAATGACTCATGTGTTAATGAGACAAGAACATCCCAGCCTATATGCTGTTGTTTGCATTTTTACTTCTTGGAGGCCACAGAAGGCTACTACTGGCTTTTTAAAGAATGATCTTAGAAAGGAGAAGTTTGTAGTCAGAGACAGCCACCACACAATAAGATGGGTTTATTTGTATAAACTGTCAACATGCTGTTACTCACTAAACCCTGCCTGAGAAAGAGGGGAGGCTCCAACTCAAACCCAGGATCGTTTTCCTCATGGAAGTTGTATTTTAAAAGCAGCATCTTTTGATTCTTCCTTCTTTATTTATTTCCTTTCTTTCTTCCTTTCTTTCTCTTTCTCCTCCTCTACTTCTTTATCATCATCTTTTTATTCTTTGCATAGTATATGTGGTATGAAAATACAATAAAATCTTGCTTTTTACTTATTTCTATCTATTTTCATCTGTCCCTTCATAGTGCTGATTAGAGAAATTGTTTTTAACCAGCTCCAGAATCCCTGGCTGCTTCTCAAGAAAAGAGGATCATTATCATCTATGGGGCCACATCAAGTGGGATACCTGATTACTTCCAACGGTACCAGCAGAAGCTTAGAGCAAATCCTAAGCTCCTGATTTATGGTACCTCCATGCTGACTTCTTTAGTCACAGCTCACTCATTTTCAGTGACTCTTGGACTTGCTACTCTTTCACAATAAGCAATATAGAGGCTGAAGATGCTGCAACTCAATACTGTCTACAGAAGAACAGTATTCACATGATTCTACAAACTAGAACAAAAAACGTTTCAGATTCTGAGGAGTCTGCGGAAGATCATATTGAAGATGCAGTATGGTCAAGAGTATGATATGGGACAGAACATTCCAATATTTCTGCAACAGAATCAAGGCTGAGTTTCATTCAAGTGCTTTCAGCCAGCCAACCCTGCAAAGAATAAAATGGAAAATATAGATGGAAATAATTAGATAAGACAATCAGTGGCCCCAACTTGTGGGATCCTGAGCAGAGAAATGTTTGAGAGCTGTTAGTGAAACTTCCTGACCTGGGCACTGATCCTGAGGAGGAAGTCATTGGGATTCAAAGAATACACACAGGAGTTTAGGAATTCATATTTTATAAAAGGTTCCAATTTAGGGAGGGGAGAGAACAGAGTAGTCGTTTATCAGAGACTGTGTCTCCTGGGGGAAGACAGGAAACAATGAAATCACAATTCTCTATCAACAATTGTTGGGGTGGCAACTTTGATAATTTTTGTCTTACTGCAGTTTTGCAAAATGTGCAGCACTGTGGAAATGGGTGGCCTACCAACAACTAATGTATGAGAGGTGGGAATCTATCCAATTATGACAAACAGACTTCATTCTACTACATGAAAATATAGTTTTAGAATGTTGTATAATCTATTCTTTAAGTTTAGAATTTGGAGTTACAAAAAAGGCTACATATACTAACATACAGAAGTCCCCTGCCATATTTTTACATGCCTTGATTCAACTGAGTAATTAAAAAATATATTCTAAGGCATTTCATGTTCAAAACAATCCTTCTCTCAGATTTTACACATATACTTCCTTCTGTATTGTTGTTGCAGGATTTTGATCACGCTGTGTAAAGTTGTGTCTATTTTACCTCACCTGGTTAAGACAGATTCTGATTGGCTTAATAAAGAATTGAATGGTCAATAGCTAGTCAGAAGAAGACTGGCACGACTTCCCAGTAGAGAGTGTAATTTGGTAAAAAATCTGAGAGGTCGGGGACTTCGGCAGGGAGATGTAGAGTAATATTAGATGTACAGTATATGAGAGTTAACAAGCCTCATGGCAGATTGTAAAATAATATAAATGGTTAATGAATTTGTAAAGGCTAGTTGAGAACAAGCCTAAGATAAGGCCAAGTTTTCATACTTAATAAGAAGTCTCCATGTCATTATTTGGGAGTTGTGTACCAAAAAAAAAAAAAAAAAAAAAAAAAAGGTCTGACTACACATTGCGGCTTTGTGGAGCCAGTGTTTTTGATGGACTCTGAGATGCTGCTGATAATGATGCAGGAGAAACCCCAGGTATCCAGGTGACCTCTGAGGAAACACCAATATCTCACATTGAACTATATTAACTCCGCTACCTGAAATAACCTAAAATTTGTTATTGAAGTAAGGAATTGCTTCAAATTGACTGACTTTGCCACAATATTGCCAATATAACTTCTAATTATATATATGCTTACAGTGTTCCTAAGATTAGGTATATTAGCAGTATTCCTGACTACTACTTTTTCCAATTTGCACAGTTTTGTCTGCTATAGCTTGAATATGTATTGAACATGTGTGTTGGAAGTAATAAATTCTCTACTACATTAATTTATGTAACTATGTTTAATATATTGTCCTCAGGATTTCCTAAGTGTTTTCAAACTTAGATCTTATTTCCTGATAAAATTCTGGTCTCCTGTAGATCTTACTGGAATTCCTGCTTCCTACTCTCAAGAGCTGGGCCCAAAGGAGTGCACCATTGAATGAATACTGGGCTCTATGCCAGGATTCATTTTTCACAGTGGACAACAAGTCTATGATTAAGCAGTTTCCCAGCCCAATATTTTCCTGCCTTTGGGTAGCCAGAATTGGGTTGCTTATGTATGTATTGGGCACATATTTATGTGTGATAGCCTATGTAGAATTCTTCCTAATGCTGCTGATTATACACAGGAATAAATAGTCTCAAGTCTGGTTCATTAGTTTCCTGAGCAAATTACAACTTGCCATGAATTATTGTCTAATTTTTCCAGGGCTACACTTGAACAAAGAGCCAACCCTGTCCTCATTTTTACAGTCACTCCAGCAGGGGCAGTCAAAAATACATGCCTATCCAATCAAGATTACCAAACTTTGAATCATCCATATTTGTAACACTAGGGACAAGAGAAGTTCCTAGTTTCTGATAAACTTGGTTTTCAGCATTTTCTTATAGTCCATTCCCACTTCTGTGAATGTGGTTCCAGCAAAGTTCTTACCCACAGTTAGTCAGTGGAGAACACAGAATCCTGACCATTCCTTGTGTTACAGATGGAAAAAATCCCGACAGCAGGGTTCTGACCCTAAACACTGATCATCTTGGATAGGAGGATCAGTGTCACATCTGTTTCCTCTTCCATCATCACTCACTGCAGTCCAGTACAGAGCAGATGCAGTTACTGGGTTGAATAACCTCATAACATGAATGGAAAGTGCTGCTTAGCATCTTACAGTATTTCCAAAATTGAGAAAATAAAGGCCATAGGAAAAATTATGTCAGTAAGCCTAAGGGAAATCATTTAGTAATGCAGTTGAAGTCAAAATCTCCAGCTTGGATCATTATAGAATGTGAAAAATGTGGCAAGGTTTGACATTTCATTGGCATTTGAAAAATCTCTTTTGTCCATTTCTTTGATCTTGAATGTTGATAATGGTATGGATCTATGCAAATGAACCCTTTTCTCTCTCTCTCTCTCTCTCTCTCTCTCTCTCTCTCTCTCTCTCTCTCTCTCTCACACACACACACACACACACACACACACACTCTGTCTCTCTGTCTCTTTCTTTCTTTCTCTCTCTCTCTCTCTCTCTCTCTCTCTCTCTCTCTCTCTCTCTCTCTCTCTGTGTGTGTGTGTGTGTGTGTGTGTGTGTTTGTGTTTCTTCTTTGAGAGACTATTCACAGCCTCTTAATATTGAGACACTGGGCCACACCTCTACGGTATAAACTGCCTCTATGTTTAGTGCTATGAAATAACTGACTGTGAACTAATGTGAGTGTGAACTTCATATCTGCAAAGCCTCTTGTCCCTGGTGTGTGAAGAATCAGGGAAGAGCACACAACTGGTTGTCAATTGTGAAATGGTCAGCCCTGAAAACATACATATAAGTAACATTTTATGTTCTCACCAATTACATCAGGAATATATACATGTACACATATACATATGTCCATAAAATAACAATTAATGAAAAATGGATTTAAAAGAGAGTGGGAAGGGTTCTATGGGAGGTATTGGAGAGTGGAAAGGAAAGAGAGAAATGTTGTGATTCAAATCAAGTTTAATCAAAACCAGGGAAGAAAGAAACAATAAGCCCCATTGCCTCCATATCGTCTATAGCTACATGTGAAGTGACCCTTTAATGATGTATGTACTTTCTAAAATTGTACCATATCAGACATTCCCTGCCACGGAGGGAAAAATAACAAGGGACTTCTACATTGAACATGACAATTCAAAATAAAGTGCAGCACATAGACTAGTGCTGTTCTCTGTTGTCCAAAGAGGAGCACATTTCCTACAAATAAATCTGTGCTGCCTCTCTGTTTTGAGACATGAGAGATCACAAGCCTTTAATGAGTCACTTGGCCAGTCCAATGGCTCTGCTCAGCCTTTGCTGATTTGCATGTGCCCAGAGCACAGCCCACTGCCCTGAGGGCTTCTTCATATGCAAGTCACACCCTGTGCTGCAATCACACACAGGTCCCAGCACAGACATGAGGGCCCCCACTGAGCTCTTTGGGTTGCTACTGCTCTGGCTTACAGGTAAGGAAGATAGCATTGGAAATTTATTAAGTTAACTATGGTCAGTGTTGCCTGGTCCCCAAGAAAGTCCTCTTTTAACCTGATTAATTTTGTAGAAATTTGTCTTCAATTTTCCAATTTCAGGTGTCAGATGTGACATCCAGATGACCCAGTCTCCAGCCTCCCTGTCTACATCTCTGGGAGAAAGTGTCACTATCACATGCCGTGCAAGTCAGGACATTGGTAATTGGTTAGCATGGTATCAGCAGAAACCAGGGAATCCTCCTAAGCTCCTGATCTATGATGCAAACAGCTTGGCCAGTGGGGTTCCATCGAGGTTCAGTGGCAGTGGATATGGCACACAGTTTTCTCTCAAGATCAATGGCCTGCAGCCTGAAGATGTGGCAACTTATTACTGTCAGCAGGCTAGCAGTTACCCTCCCACAGTGATTCAAGCCATGACATAAACCACCCAGGGAAGCAGAAGTGAGAGCCTGGGCTGCCCTAATTGCTCATTCTGCTGTCTCCAGCTGCAGACAGTGTTTTTCTTTGGCTGGAGTTAAGGGCAATGTGATGTTTTTATATATGGATCAGAGGAACTGTTCTATATGAATGTATGTCCTCTTCCCAAGGTCTAACATTAAAAACAAGGGAGTACTTTGCATGACTTACATGAAAAATTAAATTTTTTCCAGTGTAACAATACAGCAAGAACTGAGATTCATACAAGAGGTCTGTCAATGCCCCCCTTACCAACATACACATATACCAAGGTAGTGTTATCGTGGAAAGAAAATTTTTATCTAATTATATATAGCATTAAAGTCCTGAGGAAGCAGCTTGGTGAGATAGCTTAGTGATTAAGAACAGTAGCTGGTCTGCTGCAGGACCTAAGTTTGATTCCCAGCACACATACCACTGCTAGCAACTCTATAACTCCAGTCCCAGGGTATGTTAGACCTTCCCTTCTTCTAGCCTCTGAGACATTGCACTTATATGGTTTTTCACCAAATACGCAGCCAAAACATCAGTACATATATAATAAAAATAAATAAGAATTAAATATTTGAAAAATCCTAAGGGACTAGTATGCAGACAAACTGATACTGGGAAGAGATTATTCTCACAATCTAAGTGAGTCCTCCTGACCACATGGTCCTCAGATAGCATGTCAACTCTCATATCAAAAGAATGGAGAGGAGGAACTTTCCTCCATTAACTGTTTATTTCTCTCTTTTTTAGAAGGGCACGTCTTCGTTAATTTTTTCTTTTCTTTCTTTCTTTTTTTTTTTGGTGGGTGGGGAGTCTTTATTTGGCTTACACTTTAACATCATAGTCCATCACTGAAGGAAATCAGACCATGAACTCAGGCAGAGCTGGAACCTGGAGGCAGGAGCTGATGCACTGGCCATGGTGGAGTGATGTTCACAGACTTTCTCCTTGTGGCTTTCTCAGTTTGCTTTCTTTTTCATATTTTTAATTTTTTTCTGAATACAGTGTCCTTTCCCTCTACTTTTCTTAATTTCACTCAACCTCCTCTAACATCCAGATCTACTCCATTTCAGTCCCACATTGGAAATGAAAACACGTCTAGGAGATACAAAATAAAGTATAATAAAATAAAATGAATACTGTCACACTGAAGTTGGACAAGACAATCCAACAAACAAAAGATCTCCAAGAGAAACAATAAGAATCAGAGCTCCACATCCTTACACATTCAGGATTCACATAAAAGAACTAAACTGAAACTATAGAACATCACAGAGGATCTGGTGCAGACCCAGGGAGGTCCTGTGCATGCTGCTCCAGTCACAGTGAGTTCATATCAACGTTGCTCCCTTGCTGTAGAGGACCTTGTTCTCACGGTGGCCTCAATCTCTTCTGTCCCCTCCACACCTTTTGCTTCCTTTTTCATGATGTTCCCTGAGCTCTGGAAGGGGGAGATATGAAGGGGACATCGCTGTTTGAACCAAGGTTTATCTCTCTCTCTCTCTCTCTCTCTCTCTCTCTCTCTCTCTCTCTCTCTCTCTCTCTCTCTCTTTGAAAAACTATCTTGTGCTATTGGTCTCTATATTTATTCTCTTCTGCTGCAGGAGGAGGCCTCTCTGGTGACATATTTGGTTTTAACTTAGTTCTCTGGGCAGTTTAGACTCTAGTTCTTTGTTACCAAAGTAGTGTCACGTATGGTTTTCATCTCATGGACTGGGCCTTAAGTCTAATGAGATATCTGTGGATTTTCTCACAAGGTTAGTGCCACAATTGTCATAGCATATTTTCCAGGCAGGACAGATTATAGATCAAATATTTTTTGGTTGCGTTGATGTTCACTTTGTAGCCTACAGTGAAACTTTACATGTCATAGACACTAGAACATGGGGGTGAAGTTTCCATGTAGGCACCAGCTTGACCTCTCCATGCTCAATGATTTATGTGGGATTTGTCTACTTCAATGGAGTCTTACTGTCAGTTTGTGGAGAGCAACCTATTGTCTTGTCAGCAGACTGGCTTGTTTGGGGATTTTCATGGAAGTCATTTGTCAACAACTCAATTGGATGACACCCAATCTCAGAAATGTGTATCATTTTGTAAAAAGCAATAGCCAGTAAGAATTCTGTCTCCCTCTTTATTTGGGGAGTTCAATAGGGTCATCATTGTACTTTATAGGAAGTTTGAACTGAACAAGAGTCCCATATATACACAAAAATCATCAATTCTAGCTGTATTTCCTCTCATTCCCTCCCTCAACTGCATCTTTCAACCCCTTTCCACATGATCCTCCCATTCCTGACCCCCCCAAAAGGTCCAATCCCACATTGAAATTGTTTTCATTTCCCCATGCCAAGTACTCCCCTAGTCAATTCCTCTATTCTTGACCTATCTAGTTATGCAGATTGTAGCTTGATTATAATTTATTTAATAGCTACTTTTCTATTGCTGTGATAAGACACCTTTACCAATGCAATTTTTAAAAGAAAGCATTTAATTTGGGGGCTTGTAGTTCCAAAGGCTTATTTGGGGAACAGTATAGTAGTGGGAAACATGGCAACAGGCCGTCATTCATGGTGCTGGAGCAGTAACTAAGAGGTTAAATTTTTATGTGCAAATAGTAGGCAGAGAGAGGCAGAAAGCTATCTGATATGGATTGAGCCTTTGAAACTCCAAAACCCATCTTCATTGATACTTCCTCAAACAACTAATCTTTCACAAATAGTTTCAAGAACTTAGGTCCAAGCATTCAAATATGTGAACTTATGAGGGACATTCTCATTCAAACCACCATAGCAAGTGAAATATCTAAGATAGTTTACTATGGGGAAAACTGAGTCAGAGTTGGGCAGGTAAGGGTAGGCATTGCTTAGCAACCTTGGACTCACTGGGTTTGATATGTGGACAAATTTCTTTCCAATCAAAGCACTTACTATTGTGAACCACAACTTCACAAAGTTTCACAAACACCCTCTCCAAAGGATGCAATCAAGTCATTCCAACCTATGGTGACTTTTTATTTGCACTGAAATGTGATTTTATTTGTATGTTAACAAATAAAGTTGCCTGGAGTCAGAGCTATAGCAAGCCATAGCAGAAACTGGGTGGTGGTGGTGCACACCTTTAATCCCAGCTCTTGGGAGGCAGAGCTAGGCAGATCTATGTGTTTTCAAGGATACAACCAGCATAGAGACACATGCCTTTAATCTCAATACCAACCATAGAAGACCTGGAGGTCTGTATAGACAGGCAGTGATGAGGCAGTCATGTGGTTGGGTTTACAACCAATGAGAAGGCAGAACAGAAAGTCTATGTAAAGACAAACACACAGGAAGTAGGTCTCTTGGCTGAAGAGGATAGCTGCAGCAGTGAAGGGTAAGGTCTTAGCTCTGACATCTTGGGCTTTCATCTCTGCACTGGCTCTGTGTTTCTTATTTAATAAGACTTCTACATTTGGTGCCCATGTTGCAAGAATTCATCAAATATCGCTTGGCTTAGTGGTGGGTCTGGTATCCCACCTGCGTGGGCCCGGCTCCCTAGGGCCCAGCCCCCTAGCTCGGCTTAGGACTCAGGCCTGCTGGAGCTACCACTAATTGCAGTAGCTACACGCAACTTCAGATTGACTGCTCTCGGCTGAAACACCAACGCACGTGGTCGGAGGTTAAGGAAGCCAGAGCCCAGGCTCGACTTGGCTCAAGTGGGAACACGTGGCTGGATTTAAGCTTTTAGCCAGAACTCATGGCTACGCTTTCTTGCTTGTTTGCTTTCTCTCTCTCTCTCTCTCTCTCTCTCTCTCTCTCTCTCTCTCTCTCTCTCTCTTTGGATTCACACCTCGGACACTAGGTTGCTATTTTAAAATTCCCTTGGATTTCTACTGTTCTATGGAGACTTGGTAAGTCAATTAAGATATCAGATATTTTAAAGGAAACTATTTAAAAGAGAAATTTTTTTCCACATTAAACAAATGGATTTTATGTGTACATTGGAAGAAAATTGGGCTTTGTTTGAAATTTTAGGCAGTCTGACAATGGAACAACTATATGAGAAGATTAATGTTGATCAAATTATGTACTTTATTACTTTTCTTATCCTCATTTTACTATTTAAAAAGATAGTCAATTTAAGTGCCAGGATAAAATTTTAGAAAAACCTGTTAAACCTGTTAAAATGGATTATAGAGAAATTCAAATTCAGACAGAAGAAATTAACAGTGAAGTTTTTCAAGATTGGATCATAAAGTTACAGAAAGAAAGCCTGTTTTCACACAATCACCCTTAATTTATCTGGTAAACGTACAGCAGTTACCTGATCAAGTGAATACACAAAATATTTGGGCTCCAATTGAAATGTTAGATTTATGAAGGTTTAAGGAGGCAATAGTATCTGATGGCATGCATTCCCCATATGTAAAGCAAATATTAAACACCTGGTCAACTTATAATAGGATTATACCACAGGACTGGTGTGAGCTGGTACATGCTGTTCTGGACCCCGGACAACAGCTTGAGTGCAAATGTGGTTCAAAGAGGAGGCTAAAACCATAGAAAAACAATGGAGGGATAAAGGAATACAAGTCTTGCAGGATCAGCTTGTTGGAGAAGGCCAATATGCTGCAGTACAAACACAATGTTTATATGATACCCAAACCTTAATTCTATGTCGAATGGCAGCCTTGAATGCATGGGACAGAATTGAGGAACCAGGGAAAAAAACTGAGTCATTTACAAAGGTTGTACAGGCCCAAAAGAATCTTTCACAGATTTTTTTTTACAAAGATTGGCTTCAGCAGTAAAGAGAATGTTCCCAGATTCAGAAGCTAGTCAGATTATAATTGAATCTTTGGCTTTTGAGAATGCAAATGCAGCATACAAGAGAATAATCAGGCCATTAAAGGCAAGATCTGCACCCTTGGAAGATTGGATTAGAGATACGGTTAATGTTGAGGTTCATTACCAAGATGATATGTGGGTAGGAGAAG